ATTATTGGCGAAACTTCCAAAAATCCTGAAAACGGATTATTAGGTTTTCGTATAGTTTTAGGTGAAACCCAATTGTTTCCACGAAGGAAAGCAATTTCGAAAAACTACTCGTATATTTTGAAGAGGAGCGTCTGACGAATCGAACTATGCAAAGAAATCAATTCAAGCACATCAGAAAAAGTTTTTGAAAGGTTTTAAAAAAATAATTTTTGGGCTTTGAAAATTGTGCTTTTAGAGACCTTCACGGGCAACTGTTTAGGTCAAAAACAAATTTTAAAGATATTTTCTGATTCAGTTTTTAAAGCTGAACAAGAGTATGTCCTTTTCGAATATCTAAGTAGATTCTAAAGTCCACAAATTCAATTTTACAAAAACCATGGGAAAAACAAGTTTTTTGAAAACCTGAAGTTTTTTGATGTTTTGAACTGAAGGAAGCTTTGAAATAACTTGAAAAACATATATTCGTGATCACCGTAAAATTCTGTAGCAGATGATGTGTGAAAGACGTAAATTCATAATTTCACTTGAAGTTCGTCTTACGCGAACTTTAGTTTGTCATTCTTGATTTCTAGTGATTTCCAGCGATTTCCAGTGATTTCTAGTGATTTCTAGTGGTTTCCAATGATTTTTAGTGATTTTTAGTATCAGAAATAGCAAGAAAAAGGTTGATGTCTCATATCAGAAATCACTAGAAATCACTAGAAATCACTAGAAATCACTGGGAATCACTAGAAATCACTGGAAATCGCTAGAACTGACTAGAAATCAAGAAATCAAGAAATCAGTTTTTTCCCCCTTGCCCACACCCACACTCCAATTGAATTTCCTCGGTTAGTAGGATGTTATCCGATTCGATAGAATTCGTCGTCGGATTAGTCCAACTGGGTAGTCATGTAGCTGTGCTGTTATATGCGATGTCGAGAGAGATCGCTTTGTTTTTTTACGATATGCCATGAATACGTTCTCTTCGCAAGGTATTTTAACAAATCTGTTGGAATGCAAAACTCAAAAGTGTTTATGACGAAACCTATTGTAAATCACAAATTCGAAATAGTTCACAACGAAACCTTTTTAAATTTCAAAACTCTTAAAAGTATATTACAAAACCTTGCATTTTGCTGAACCTTGTACAGATTTCGTATAATTCCGCGGATGCCTAAATAGTATCGTACAGCTCCACGAAACCTCGAAGGTTTCGTTTGGTACCTTTTTGTTTTCGGTGTATAGATAACCATCAACCGAAAAGAAATCTTGATACAGCAGCCGTGCACTCCTGTTAGAGCAAAATTAGAATAGGATAGTTAGCTTTACGGCACCAGTTATCAACTAAAGGATAACTTTAAAATTTGAGGTCTCAATTTCTCAATAAAAATAGGGTGCTAGGAGCAAATAAAGAATTGGATAGAGTTTGATCGGAATCTGTAGTCGATTTTTCAAAATGCCTCAACCCAATTTCTTATTAACTAAAGGCTATCTCGAGGAAATGCTAAATTTTATAAAGTTTTACGCAAAAATAACTAGAGTCTAGCAGTCAGTAACTCTAATGTGTTCCTTAAGAGAGTTTACAAAAAGCCCAAGGAACCAATGCACGGTTCCAAATTAGTTTTTGATTTTTTATCTACATTCGAAGTAGAAATGCACTAAATCCTATAGAGTATGATATTAAAGATGACATTTTTTCCTTATTAAAAATCATTATTTTCTCGAGATAACTTTTTGTTATCGAGCAATTGGGTTGATAAATTTTGAGAAACCAGTTACAGATTCTGATTCCTTGACCCCGATAACCTTTCATTGAACTTTATCAGAACTCATTATCTCCTCGAAGTACCCCTTTCTTATCGGAAAGATGGGGTGACCAGCCCTCTGTTTTCTAACAAGATAACGCTGATTTTTCTCACCTAAATGAAAGTACTAGTTAACCAAATTAACTCAAAGTTTCAATCCTATCAAAATGTTAAGAAATCTTTAGTATAACAGTATAGAGGGGTGTAAGCTTTATGGAACAAAGTATAGTGGCATAAAGGGGAACTCGATGTATATAATGTTCCCATGTAAACCAAAAGTAGCTAAAAAATCAACTTTTTAGTACTTTTAGTACTTTTTTTTTACACAGGGAAAGCTATTTATCAGTGAACTTTCGAGTGCTTTTCGTACTTTTTAGCCAAAAAGTCATAGAAATACTTTAAAAAAAGTTGTCTTTTGGCTACTTTTGCGTTTCATGAGCTTAATAGATACTTTATCGTAATTTAAGATACTTTGAAATACTTCGAGATATTTTAAGGTACTTTACGGTACTTTAAAGTAAAAAAGTATCATGTTTCCCCCTTGATAGAAAAGCATATCCACAATCTCGCTTAATCATATCGATTAAAGACGTGTTAAAAGAGTCATCTAGGAAGGTCATTGCAATGAATGTATTATTTGATATTGAATTGTAGCTTAAGTTCTGCAAGTTTTGTTTTTGTCGTTTTAGATGAATAGGAGACTTTATATAGTAGCAGACAAAAATTTCCACCCGCCTCGCATTTTCGAGAAATTCTAGAAAGCCCCATAATTGTAGTATATATATAGTAGTACTAATGCTATGATCAGAAAAATTATTCATTTCTTCTAAAGTGGTATCAATCATTACTTTTTATAAATGCCATTACCAATACACGTACGGTACGAAATTGTGTTTTTATCTAATCATCCAAAGGGCCCACAACAAAGTCATATGGACGTGGCAAAAGCAGTTCATTGTAACATCTCAACAGTGAAATATTGGCTCAACCGATGGACACAATCCAAAGATTTAATTCATTCAACCCGTTCCGGTCGACCACGTGTAACTACCGAGAAACAGGACCAACAAATTACTTCTCTCGCTAAAGAACAGCCATTCTTCACCGCTAAAGATATTACAAATCAGCTGGAGTGGCGAGCAGTGATAGTTAGCAAGAGAACGGTATGCCGACGTTTGAACGAAGCAGATGCTAGATACAGGCGGTCAATGTCAAAGCCATTGCTTACAGAACATCATCGACAAAATCGTTTAAGATGGGCCCAACATCATAAAGCAACTGACTGGAATCAGGTGATATTTTCTGATGAGACTACTGTCCGCCTGAATTCCGTGAAAGGATTGGTTTGGAACTTTTCAGGAAACAAAAAAGTCGTTCGTACTGTCAAGCATACAATCAAGGTGAATGTTTGGGGTTGTTTCTCAAGTAAAGGTTTCGGTCGCATCATATGTTTTGGGCAAAACCTCGACGCTAAATTTATGTGTAGTATCTATAAGTACGGTCTCTTGCCAACAGCTAAGAAACAATTTGGTAACGATCCGAGGCCGTGGAAGCAGCAAGAAGAAAACAATCCTAAGCACAGGTCGAAACTTGCCACCCACTGGAGAGAAGAAAAGAGAATTGAAAAAATAGACTGGCCATCGATGCCCCCTGATATTGCTCCAATTGAAAATTTATGGCCAGAGATGGGCGAGTCCACCCTTTTTTCTAGTCAAGTCAAGTCACCGGCCTTGTCGAGTCGAGTCGAGTCGAGTCGAGCCAAAATATTTTTGTGAATTTTGGGTGTATGTGTGTGTGTTGCGTGCGTATCTGTTCTTCTACACCCACATCCTACACTTGATTTAACAAATTTATATCTCTCTTAAGATGCTTTTTTATTCACCAATATTTTTAATTAAGAAGACATGTACTGTTAATTATCAAAATTTTCGATTAGTGATATTTTCAAATTTCTCTTCCGATGTTTTTATATGATACACAGTCTCTCTTTCATGATCATAATTTTATATCCGAAGATCAAGAAAATTAATGTATAGCAAAAGAAATTAGTGTATGATCAGTCTGTTACAAAATCAAAGCAGCTTTTTTTTATTTATGCAGCAAAGCTGTGATCCGAGAAAGATCCTTCCAGCACCAGGAATAGAAGATTAAAGCAGTTGTTGAATAACGTGCACATGTCTGTAAAACAACTAAGTTGATTAAGAATCAATAATGGATACACAAAAAACAAAGTGATAGCGAATATGTACGATGCAATAGAATTTTTCTATTTATTTTATCGTAATAAAGTATATATACAGTGACAGTTCATACTGAAAATTCTGGTTTTTTAAAAAAGCAGATGAAAGTTTTTTTGAAAGGATGACTCGAGTCACACAGTCGAGTCAACACCTACTAATTTTCGAGTCCGAGTCAAGTCAGAGTCATTAAAAAAATGCGACTCGAGTCCGAGTCATGACTCGGACTCGCCCATCTCTGTGTGTGGCAACTCCTCAAGATGAAGTTAAGAAAAAAAACGTTTACAAATTAGCAATCTTTGGTCTCTGCAATAAAGCACGAATGGAAGGCTCTACCACTGGAATTAGCATTAAACTTGGTACATGGCATGGAAAATCGAATTTTTGAAGTTGTAGAAAGTCATGGTGATTTCATATTACACTAGTGATCAGAATGGACTCTTAGCTTCTTTATATTAAAATTTTCTTTTTGTTAAATAATAGTGTTCAATAAAATTATAAGCGGGTGGAAACTTTTGTCTGTTACTGTATCTCGTGACTTGAGAAGAGTATGTGTCTGAACGTGTTAGTGAAGATCGAGCTCATAGAGATCAATTTACACTAAAACTTTCAGACCCATAGTCCTTTCAAGTCATGGGAAATAAAGTCTCCAATTTAACTAACAAGACAAAAAATCACAGAAATTTTATTGCAACCCAATAATTCTCAGAGGAACTTGTGACAATGGAATCAATTCATGTCTTTGATGGTATCTTGCTTTGAACCTTCATTCGAATGATCAGACACCTCGGGAAAAGCAATTCGAAAACAGCCTACACTATAGTTTCAGCCTCCAGATTGGTCGCTTATGTAAAATGCAATATTTTCTGCCAGGATCAAATTTTTTCTTTACTTTTCTCGCCAAAAGCACATATATAGAGCCATTTTCAGTCGTCGCTTCTCACAACTCAAGTATGCGTGATGAAATACCTCTTTCATTGTACAGCAAGAAATTAGTGCAAAATCGTCACAAACGGAGAGTAAGATTAGCCTGAAGCGAGAAAAAAGAAATGCAAAGTTTGAAAGGCATCGTCGCACAGAAGAAAAGCCTGACAGCATCGAGAAAAAATATTTGTTTCAGCAATAATAAGCAAATTACTGATGTGATTTCGCTTCTAACAATACTACACTCAAGCAAAACAATCGCCATATACGTTAACACTCTTCAAGTAACGCAGAAAGCAAAGTATGCGAAAACATTTTTCCTTCTGCGCAATTTTCAGCGTGTGAGTGTTCTACCAACTTCCACACCCACACCCACTCCCTCAATAACTGATGACGTATAAATAACTGAAGTTATCAGAGTTATTTAGCATAGGCAAAATGAAGTTTTTCGATAAATATTTACTGAATAATGTAGTGAGTCACCAATGGATATGTCTTGGCGGGTACCTATAAGTCACATGCAAAGAATGAAAAACATGAATGAATACAGGAAACTCACCTATTATAGAGAAACATGAGTTTCATTTGTCGTATTTCTTCTTCGAATTGAGATAAGGTTGTTGAATAACGAACTGCTCTTGTAATATCAGTATCAACAGTGTTTCTAAAAATATGACCAGGATGATTTGATCCAAATGGTACCACATATGACTCAGTTGCTTCTTCATGATACACCGAAGTTATTAATGCTCCGTTACTGTTCTGAATGAGTACATCAAGAAATAGAACACTTCTACCGATTTGTCGTACTAGTTTAATGTTTGGATGAAACTTATTAGCTTCGTCTAGCATTTGGTCGATAGATTCGAATGGATCGTTCGACGTAAAGAAAATATCATCAAAGTATATTCTTTTATGAGCCATGTTAAATACCGACTGTAGATTTCATTGAATACTTCCAGTTGGTGAAAAAGTCATTTCTGCCAGTTCCACATGAAAATATTAGCTAGTGTTAAAGTAAATGCTGAGCCCATCGCACCACCAACGATTTGTCGATAGAATTTCTCCTCATAAACAAAAAACGTTTCCTTTAATAATGATAAGAGCTAACTTTCGAATAATATCGATGGGAATATTTTGAATTTTTTGATAGCCATGTTGAAGGAGAAATTGAATTAGTAGGTTTGTGACTTCATATTTTTCGGCTAAAACAGACTTTTTACATTTGATTTCTTTCACTTGGGAAAACGAACCCGATATCTTTCTTAACCAACCAGTTCTACCCAAATCAATGCATCCTAATTAAATTTCAAAAGTTTGAACAAACATTGTTGAGGTTGATAGTGATAGGGATAAATATGCGAATGTGCTAGGTATAATAACCTTATAGAGAACAAAGAAAACATTTTTATTTTTTCTTAGCATCTACTAGATGTTTTAATTATTCTTGAAGTGCTTCTTATACTCAAAATATCATGATTAAAAGGCTATGTTATCGTCTGAGAGTAATATTACTTTGAAAAGCCATATTTTGCTTCATGAATCACGCACTGTTTAGAAAAAAAAGTTACTAATACAACGAAAGTTTTACTTTTTTGCTATGTAATTATTAATTCTAATGAATATCAAATCTAAGCCGATCAAAATTATTTTAAGCAATGAAAAAGTGTTCATCATTGGAAAATACTAACAGCTACATAAATTTAGTACCACTATCATCTAATTAAACTTAAAATTAAAAAATATTATTTAGCAACATGTATTGGATCTAGTCATAACTCTTTGAAAGCTTGTGGTTGTCAAGAGTCTACTTTTTTAAAATTTTCTTTGAGTTCTACATTTTTATTATCAAAACAAAATACACTGATATTTGTGTAGACAAAAAGATCACCTTCAAATATTACAATTTCTTGTTCATGAGTAAAAGAAACAGTGGTTGTTTGACATCAGCGATGTTTTGTTTGCATTGTAACTTGTGAGTTGGATAAAGAATTTTTTCTCTATTTGAAAACCAATTTATCAAGTGTGTGAGTGTTTTTATAGTTTTAAGGAAAAGAAAATGTATCAATGCTGTGCATAGCGAGAAAACAATTATATATTTAATTTTACGAATCAAAAAACGAAAAAGAAGGATATATAAGGCGTAGAAAGTATGTATTTATACTACAACCAAGAGAAAATAACTTGAAAATCTAAATTGATTCTCCTTTTTTTGTATAAGTCACAAGGTTTAACTGTTTGTCTTGCTGTTGATCGAATGTGATATTTTCTAATCATCATCTGCGTAGTGATGAGTGTATTTGTAGTCATGACATTTTTTCATATGACCATGGTGACCATAGTATTTAGAAGCAGTTTTTGCACTAACTGCTTGCTCTTTCAATCGTTTCTCCATGCTTTCTGCCATTCGAACTAACATCGCAATCATACCTTTCTCGTCGTCCAAATGTTCGACTTGTCTAAGTAGATTAATCTGCTCAGTAATAAGTGCAATGGCGTCGTCCCTTTTATTACTTTCTATCAATAGAACGATTCTGTCATCCATTTCTGCAGCAACTTGAACGGCATGCAAAGTTTTTACTTTTGGATCGATTTGTTGGATGAATGATTCATCATTAGTGAATGTCACTGACAATTTACCAGTCACTGTCAATGGTTCTCCTTCGGCATCACCAGGCTGATTGTACTTCAACTGATAGTTGAGAACTTCAACTTCTGTGCCTTCAGGCAAGGTTGCAGAAACCGTAAAATCACAAAGAATAAGACGAAGATTATCGGTATGAAGATCTCCGAGATTTGCACCAAGCGCAATGTTTTCGTGACCCCATATTTTTGTGACAATTGCATTATTACAACCGCGGATAATTAATTGAGCTTGTGTTCCACAAACATCAAAAACGCTTTGAAGCGCTCTTGTCATCAATGTTACAGTGGTTTCAGCTGATTCAAGGAAAAAGAATTGACCACATCCAGCTTCAGCGATACCTTTCATAATTGCCTCATCAAAATCTTCTCCAACACCAAACGAATCAGTTATAATCCCTTTTTCTCTATATAGCGTAACAACGCTCATAATTTCTTCTTTTGTTCTTAAGCCGACATTAGCTAAACCATCTGATAAGACGAACATACGTTTGGAATATTCAGGATATGTATATTTTTCAAGAAGATTGGCACCCATTTCCATGCCACCAGATAAATTAGTTTGACCACCTGTCTTAATACCTTTCACTGCCGAATAAAGAGCTTGACGAGCTGATGCACGTGCATTTTCAAAGACGTTCCAGACATCATCGTCATAGGTAACCAGATGGACAACATCATCATCATGAAGCAAATTAAGTACGGAGATTACGGCGGTTTTTGCAAATTCTAGTTTATTATTTGATGCCATTGAACCACTGCGATCAAGTACTAATACGAGGTTGATTGGATTTCGTTTGGTTGCTTCAGCATTTTGTTCATTTGCTTTTGTCTCAATTTCTATCCGAGCTCGCTTATTATTTACTACACCAATGATTCCATAGTGATTATCAGGAATACAACGAATATTAACTAAAGCCATGTTTTCAGTGCTCATCTTTTTGTTGCCGTTATTCAATACGTAATACTAAAAGAAATCAATAAAAATAAATGTTTCAAGTGTACTCCTGGGTTGAGACTAATACTACGAGGGATGTCCAAGAACTGAGAATTAGGAATTCCTCCTCAGTTCCCCTACAGTTCATTGCATACTAAAGGTAAAAATATGGAATATTCACAATAGTTTTTGNATATAATAAAAACACGTTGCTTACCAACAAGTATGCGTTCGAACGCGTTCACAATTTTGCGAAACGCGTCTGAACGCGTTAATTTGTTCTTAGAACGCGTTTTTAGCCGATAAAATACGTTCAATTTTTTCGAAAACGCGTTCTTTCACGTTCATTATGAGGAATATTTTTCCATGGGTACTAAAGGTAAAAATATGGAATATTCACAATAGTTTTTGTTCTTACACTCATCGTCAGCTGCAAAATCGTGAGAATCAATAGTTCCGTGCACAAATTATTTATAAAAAAAAGTAATATCGCGACTTTCGTGAATGGTGGAACTGTGAGGGAACCAATGGTTGATTCCCATTTTCTCTTAAAAAGCTTGTTAGTGCAGCCTCTTTCGGGCTAAAATTTGGAATTCACATATATCCCTTAGGCTTTCTGAAATAATTCAAAATAGTTAGTCTGAAAAATCTGCCTTGGTTTCCAAAACCTATTTTTAGGTCATTGCCTATTTGCTTATGTCTGTAATGGTGTATTAATTGTTAGCTCGTATAGTTAACAATGACAGAGACTAGTTTCTATGGTCCGTAATGGGCAAGCATTGCTTTTCTCGTGTAGTCTGTAATTAAAAAATTTTGAGCTCATTGAGGTCCGTAATGGTGAGGTGAGAGCCACAAAAATCTCGCTTTTAAACTTGCACTCACTATTTTCTTCAAAAATATGGGAGTCCCACAAAATCATTTGTGCACGGAACTATTGACTTTCACAATTTTGCAAGTGAAGATGAGTGTAAGAACAAAAATTATTGTGAATATTCTATATTTTTTTACCTTTAGTATGCAATTAACTGTAGGGGAACTGAGGAGGAATTCCTAATTCTTAGTCCTTGGACACCGCTCAGGTTTGGTGATGACATGCTTATACAAAATCACAAAAAACACACGAACAGAGGCTCAGGAATGAAAAATCATGCTTACATTTGTGTGTTGCTTGTTTTATCAATGAATTTTGGTCCAATTTTATGTGTAGCTTTCTATTTTTCATCATTTTATATGACTCGTGAGAATTGCGTAACTACGTAGCAATCGTGACAGCATACCCGAAAGAATGTAAGAAAATATTCCTTACAAGGCATACGCATGCATCATAATAGGATGAATCATTTACTGCGTCAGAGAAAGATATTTATATAAAATATTCTAGAATAAATAGAGAATAATGCCGACGATGGTTTATTCTAAGTATAAATCTGTCTCATATGGGATTTATTTTCACTACACTCTAATAAGAATGTGTCGGATGTGTCATAAACTAAGACACAAAGCACGACACATTCTGCCCAGCAAGACCGCGACACATTTCCATTGGTTGTTTTTGAAACGCATATTTCGATATTTTTTTAAATTTAATTACATATATCTCTTTATTTTTTGAAAATTCAATCTGATCAGATCCTAAGATCTGGCTGCTTTGGAATTGGTCCGATTCCTATCAGACTATCCAGTGTAGTCCTTCCCGGATCATGGATCGGGGTGGCAATTCCTTGATTATAAAGTAATCAAGAATTAATTTCAAAGAAAATTTTATTTCGAGAACTTATCTTCCATGCGTTCAATGATGTTGCTTATATGTAGCTGCATGTTCATAACAAAACGGTGAACGACTAGTCGACTGACAGAACGTGAAAAAAATACCACACATTTTTTTCATTAAAAGTGCGACACAAAAATTTACGACACATTTTTTTAATAGAGAGCACAACACAAAAATTCACGGCACATACAGCCAACGCATTTTTATTTAGTGTGTAGGATGGAAACATGTGGAAAATGATTCAGTTACACATTTAATAGATCTTTCACAAATGGGAAGATGTTTATGTGCAAGAGTTGTTCATTAGCAGAAGTTTTATTGTATCTAGTTAGAGTGCTATGATTATGATGGAATAATATTAATTCTATCATTTTGACACGTTCAAATATGCAAAACTATGAATTATGACAACTGTATTTCAATAATATAAATATATGGAAATTTTCTAGTTACTATTGAAATGAATATAATATTATTTATTATCTGATAAAATCCTGATAAGACAATAAAAAACGGTATCTTGATTAGGGGTGTTAGAGTTTCCCATTCCTAGAAACAGGAACTCAGTTAACGTTCCTGTTCTCAGGAACGGAACGCGAACGCGACATCCCTAATCTTGATCTTCTTCAAACTGAATTTAAAATATTTGAATCAATTATTCAGCGACTTCAAATGATCGAAGTGTTCTACTGTAAGAATAAAACAAAAATGATAGAAAATGTCATCAAGCGATGCCCTAATCAATCGCATCTGCAAATGGAGACAAATCAGTGAACTAAGAATCTGGTTGCAGAAGGATAATCATAAGAACATTGAATATACGTGGGAATCGATACAACAAAACTTTTGTTTATCCATTAGGCATTTAATATATCGTTGTGTGAAATGCTCATGACCAATAAATACTAGCGTCTTATACTGTTTCTTTCAAATGATAGTCAGAGTCCCAAATATTTACTGTTATCATATCTTCATCACAAAAGAAAACTGTACTGACTTTGTCTTTCAAGAAAACGCATTAAAATCTGTCATATATTGTACTAAAATATTAGATTGACATATGAATAGAATGACTTGGTTCAAATTAATAAAGTATCGATATGCTGAAGTTTTTACGACGTAAACATGAAAGAGAACTGACTATGTGGATGAGTCTACAAATGTGTTGTTCCACAACAATGCATTTTCTTCTGAGATTTATAATTAGATAGTTCGAAAATACACTTGATACATGTTCTACAATTTTTTATTCCGTATCAAACAACTGAAACAATCTTCAAGTGGCCCAGTTTTACCAGTCTTCATTGTCTTTCAAAAGTTAAGTATCTCTCAAAATTGACTTAGAGCATACTTTAACGATTTACTTTATGTACATTATCCTCTTAATTGTATCCGTATGCTCGTGCATTGGTCTGATAAATTTTCATTGTTCTATTGCGTGACCGTTCCCTCTTTGTTTCTATTCGCTCAAGCGTAATTACTCTCTCTCTCTCTCTCTCTCTCTCTCTCGTATATAAGAGAATGTACCTGAATGAAACTCACGACTAGAGATGTGCATATAGCACAACACATGTGATACCGATGCGCATACGTGATACTCTTTATGTCTGCCACACATGCAAGGTTATATTTTAATCAGATATCACGTACAACTCTAAATCTACTAATTCTAGTTCTTTCTAGAATCATATACGCAGCTTTCACATTAAAAGGAATTGATGGCTTTATATTTAGGATAAGAGTAATTATAGCATTTTTAACCATAAAAGAAAAGCAGAACTCGTGATGAAGTACATGAAAAAAGTATTGCCGTGGGCGAATTTATGGCAATCTAAACTTTCTTGAAGATCTTCTTTAAAGAGCAGTTACAATCGCAAGATCAATGGCTGTCGGTTCTGTCGGTCCCATCTTTCGATTTCGGCGACGACATGGATCGGTCATCAATACGACTGGTCTTCCAATCTGTGGTAGATCCTTTGTTTCTACTCGTATTCGCCCAGCTGCAACACCATATTGACCGGAAAGAGGTAAAAACCAAAACCAATTATCAACAATGTAGATGATCGAACTAATACTAGTGCAGGAAAATGCAATAACATCTGGATCATCAAGGGTAAAACCACGGCCCAGTGTCCGGGTGTAAGTCATATACCAAGACATTATCCTAAAAATAGAGTTCACGAATATATTCTATTTGTTTTCATGAACTTAGAATTTCTAGAACAGAAGCCTCAAATAGACGATAGATTTAATGAGTAAATTTTCACAGCACAGATTGCTCAACTCATTGCAATAGCGAGACAGATACTCTAGAAAATTTCTACTTTCCAGAGAAGAGATACTACTTCGATTCAAATTTAAATTCCTAGTTATTAATGACTGATGGTGCATAAAAGATACGTACCAGCCGAATGAAGCGAATAGTTCAACAGTCGCTGCTGTCATCTCGATCCTGTGCACTGCTAAGGTATAAAAACCACCCAGTGTATCCTCATTTGGATACCAGTTAGCTGACCAGAGATAGAGTCCAGCTTCGATGTGATTCAGGTATTCAGGAATCATAATAACGTCCAACCAGGATCGCCCAGCCCATGCCCACCAGTAGAGGAAGGCGGACACAACATGGACAACAGCAAAACCTGAAAAGTAAAATTATCGCTACAGAATGTTAGATATGAATTAAAAACAAGTTATGTTTGAACGTGTTTCCTACCTAAATATTCAATGAAAAGTCTATGGAGTTGATTTTCATTTATTCAAGTTTCTAACATTTTGTGAGATCCAGAGTAAACTATGGTTTTGTAAAATGCAACCAATAAAAAAACAGCTAGAAATACTTTCGTCTATCTATATACAGTTTCCAGTTCGAATAGGTTATACTTAAGTGAAGTCTTTAAAGTACGTATGAATCAATGTAGAATTGTATGTACTCTGGATCTCGATGAATAGTAGTATTGTCTCGCGACAAACAAATGAAAGAAAATCAGCAAAAAATCTACACAAAAACTACGAAGATTCTAATCAGTTAAGTCAAATGGTTTGTGAGAAGATAAAATAAATGCAAAAAAAAACTATAGTCTACCGATTGTAGGTCGGAAGTCAGGAAAAATTATTGGGAGTGTGAATAATTTAATTATATATTTATTAAAATGCTATCTGCTGCATGAGACGTAGTACTAGGTCAATCATGTGCTAAGCCATACATCATCAGATAACTCTCCATGCATACATAATATTATTTGTATCTAATAGTTCAGGATTGCAAAGAACTGTGCAATTAAAGTATTATAGTTCTAATGATTCCTTTTAATAAGAGTAGACTACTTATTGAATGATTTGGAAGCAGCTGCCCGGCAAACTAAAAAATATAATGGTAGCATGGAGCAATCTATTATTTCTCCTCAGTTACCAAAGTGAATCATACTGGTAAGGGATTGTTAGGTGAAATTCTATTTGTATGTAGGAATATGGTTGAGTTGTGTTCATTTTGAGAGATAGCATTTTGTTCCTTTTTTATTGTTGTGTTTGGTATTAATATACTTTGCAAATATGTATTGGCTGTGTTTTTTTTTTGGTTAGCTGTTTAAAATATGTATGCACATTAGATACCTTCAAGAAAGTCTACACGACACGGTCAATTTATTTTGGTAAAAAGCTTTTTCATCACTCTCTAGAATGTTGGATTGCAATCGGTAAAACGTGGAAAGAAGTCGTTTGCATAGTTATACGTTTTTACTTGATGATGTTTATGATTGCTTCATACCAACCTATGGTGTATTGATTTACTCTTTCATGAAACTCCTCTGTGAGGTACCATTTTGTTTCATTTTTCATTGAGTTAGATAGACTGATGATGAAATAGGCTTTGAACTAACCTAGATACAATTGATTCACCGATGGATCCTTGGTGATTGGCTGATCAAGAGTTGGTATCACAGGTGCCGTACATGTATTGTTTTCATCTGCAGATCCATTCAGTTGTGGATTAAAATCAATAATCAGAATGCCAATGGCATAGCCCAGATACACTAGATTACCCAACATATATCGATTACGCAGTGTTTTTCGCAGACAGACAGGGACACGAGCACGAATATGTTTCCATTTTAGCGCTTCCCAAATTGTGTTGAACGTTTCGACCTCGTTGAAAGGCGCTGTGGGGTCACCTGCTTCATGATTATGAGATTCACGCGTGTTTTCATGGACAGTATTGTTCGCATTCATCTTTTTATAAATTTAGTTTGTTCTTACGCTATTGATGTCAAACAGAAGTTAACTAACGTCATATGCAACGCTATGATAAGAAAACAATTCTTTCATTTGCACACTCTTTTTACGCTGTTCTCTACTCATTCGGTACAAGTGCACATGGGACGTTATTCGTACACAGAGCAAAAAATTGGTCTTCTGTCTGTTTTTTGCAAAGTTTTTCGTACCGAAAAGTATAGCATGAGCAGACAAGCATGAGTGTGCAATCTAAGGTTATGTGAAAAAAAACGGTGTTAAAGAGGTTTCCTCAGAAATATTTATTAAGTTCTCTTCAAATCAATTTTATTTTTGCCAACGACGCACTGAATAAGCATTAGAAAAATGAAACTGCAAAATAGTATTAAGAAAAGTTAAAGGGAAAATGCGATAAACCAATCAAACAGTTTAATTGAAATAGAGAGAAAATGCTTTTGAATGCACTCAATTGTAGCTATCGATATTGGGTCAACAGTAGTCAAGTGTAACTGTTTGATATATGTTATACAACTATTTATTTTCTACAAAATACATAAAAACATATGTAAAACAATCAGTTTTCAAAGTTGTCATCACCATCAAGAAATCTGTTATCTGTGAAAAAATGAAGATGTAGCACTCCAGGTAGTATTTTAATGAAATTTTGGAGTACTACTAGGAATCTATTCAATGTTTACCAAACTGCTCTTCCATTTCGATCTAACTGGAAGTGATCTATTACAAGGCTACCTATTGACTAATTTTGGTACTTACTGGCGCCAGATTAACAATTTAATAATTTTTATCTGTGATAAGTTATGAAATAGAGAACATGTTTTCTTGAGGGGAAAAGTAATTTCATAAGCACAGTGACAAGACGTGTCTTTATTTATAATACGATCCACTGTTCTCTTCAACTATAGTCACAAAAGATGAATTCTGAATGAATTACATGAGAAAAAAAATTGCGCTTTAATTTTTTATAAATACTCACTATCATCTCAAAAATTAATAAACGTCTTTTCCTTCTTCATGCCTATTAGGGGAAGATATTGTTTTCCCGTCTCTTTATTAAATCACTACTTAACACGTACGGATACACATACACACAACGACTACACTACATCAGACCAACTTGAACAGAAAGAAACACTCGTATATATATGTCTGTTTCGCACATCCAGGGTAAACGAAAGAGAAAACGAATACAAGAAAAAGAGGATAATGTAATCGAAACATATTGCGCCGAAGAAAGAGATATATCTTAATATGTAAAGAATGACGTCACATCGATGAATCAGAAATGATACTAGGATGTGTGAGGGTAGGCCCGTAACAATGCTAATAGAAAACGCTGTGCTGATATTCTTCAAAGATGACTAACTATCACCAGATCAATGGCTGTCGGTTCTGTCGGTCCCATCTTTCGATTTCGGCGACGATATGGATCGGTCATCAATACGACTGGTCTTCCAATCTGTGGTAGATCCTTTGTTTCTACTCGTATTCGCCCAGCTGCAACACCATATTGACCGGAAAGAGGTAAAAACCAAAACCAATTATCATCCCGCAAACATGCGAAAATATAATAGCAAGCGCCAACAAAATAAACAATATCACCGTACGTATACAAAGTGTTTGTGCCATATTGCAACGGATCAACATTGATCTGGATATTGTAGACAATGTAGATGATCGAACTAATACTAGTGCAGGAAAATGCAATAACATCTGGATCATCAAGGGTAAAACCACGGCCCAGTGTCCGGGTGTAAGTCATATACCAAGACATTATCCTAAAAACAGAGTTTTGATAATATCTAATATACTATAATCTGATCAGTTCTGTTTGCTTCCATGAATTTAGAATTACGTTAAAAGAAAACGGAAGTAAACGATATGTTTGATAGTTCCATTTTCACAGCACACAATCTTCAGCTCATTGTAGTAGCAAGATAGATATTCTAGAAAATGTCAACTTTTTTTAGGGAAGAAATATTACTTGAACTGTAATTTATATTCCTAGTTATTAATGACTCCTCATGCATGGAACATACGTACCAGCCGAATGAAGCAAATAGTTCAACTATTGCTGCTGTCAACTCGATTTTATGCACCGCTAATGTATAGTAACTACCCATTGTGTCTGCTTTCGGATACCAGTTAGCTGACCAGAGATAGAGTCCAGCTTCGATATGATTCAGGTATTCAGGAATCATAATAACGTCCAACCACGATCGCCCAGCCCATGCCCACCAGTAGAGAAAGGCCGAGACAATATGAACAATAGCAAAGCCTGAAATTAATTGTAGAGAATAGCTGATACCTATATAAATGTAAGGATGAGCTATATGTGAACATTTTTTCTCTAAATAGTCAACGATAAACTTAATGAATTCTTTTTTATTGAAGTTGCAAGGGTTTCTGAAAATAAATGGAACCAGTCTATGCCATAGCAACCTGAATTTATTACAACACACTCCGTTCTCACGAGTGTCATAGTTTTTGTATCGATAGCAGTTAGTTCACTGTGTAAAAAAAGTAGATACCTTTTACTCTATGTATGCAGCTTCGTTTTCGAATTCGTAAAATCAAATGAACCTGGTGAAGCACACACAAATCAGTGCACTATTATATTGATTGATAATAGCTTTGTCTCTTGACCAATAATATAACATATTGGAATAGCAAAAAACTACCTGCAACGTCATAGACACCGAACAGCTCTATTTCTGTGCTTTGCTTCCCGCAAAGCACACTTCTTCGATAAAGAATTCAATTGACAACATATCAATAGTACCATAATCTTTAGACAAATCGATGATGTTCCTTTATATGAACACAAAATGACGAGAATTCCACATAGCCCTCCCTATTGGCTCGAAATATCCTCATTCACATAGGTCACACCTTCATGCAAAAGTATGTAACAAAGACCGTCTATTTCTCTCACAGCATTAGTAAATGATGAATTATGACGGCAATAGATGGAAACTGTGGGGTTCTCTTTAACGTTCCATAGCTATGTAAGTTTTATGAGCTCTACATAATTTCTCTGAATTAATTTAGTGGCACCTAGAAGAAAAAATTAGGGATTCTCATATAAGTAGTAGTAAAAAGCATTACATGTACTATCTGCACGACAAAAGTTCCGAAGCACGGAAGAATTGTCGAAAGTATCAAATAATTACATATGTATGTAAATGTTGCTTTTTATATACGACAACAGCACTAAAAAATAGTTTAATAATTCGTTCGGTCATATCAGAGGCTTCGTTGGGTAACACACCATTAGTCATATCTTTCGTATCAAATATTCTCTGACTGTGTAAAACTTTGATGCAACAGTATTAGAGTTCTAATAATTCTTTGGATAAGATCGAAATACTCATTGCATCAGTGTTGATGTCTGTCCATGGAGTAGAATCGTATTATACAACGAAACCACAAATGAAAAGTCAAGAAACTAGTGACAGCATTAGAACGATAATCTGTTACCCTCATAAATATAGTGGAACATGAGGATCTGTTTCCAATGTTACATAATCGTTTCTTCTGTCAATAATTTCAATGAAAACGCTGGTAGAAAGCTAATTTTCCATCAGAAAAGCTGTGTGTTTAAGATACTGAACCATTCATTTCTTAGAACAACGATATTCTCTATCGAAGAGTCTACGGTAAGTGGCCAGTTAACAAAAGGCTAGAATGAGCAATGCTTACAAGTCCTCATCCGATGGACTTCTAGTTTTATGTAGGATTCTGATGAGTTTGTGGGTCATTTTGAGTGACATCAGTAATTTTCTGACTGAAAATTATTCGAGCTTGTGCTACTGTATTAACAATTAGTTAAATTTCCAGATTATCTGCTTGCCAAAAGCATTCCTCATCATTATATAAAATTTATCGTGGTATCTAAGTCTTGTTTTTACTAGCACCCTCATTTGATTGAAAGCATAGGAATGAATATCTGTTTGATACAGTCAATGTGTTTCTAAAACTAGAACCTTTTGTCACCCTCCTCTAAATTGTTGGATCACAATCGGTAAAATCTGGAAGAAATTTTTATATAATTTTACTCGTTGATATTAGTGGTAACTTCCTATCAACATATGGTGTTCTGATTTACTCTTCTATGCAATTTATCTGTATGGTATCATTTTGTTTTGTGTACAGAGTTTGTGATAAACTAGTGACGACAGAGCCGTTCAACTAACCTAGGTACAATCGATTCACCAATGGGGTGTTGCTGATTGATTGCTCAAGAGTCGGTACCACAGGTGTCGTATATGTATTGTTTTGAACAACAGACGAACTGTCTGCAGATCCATTGACTTGAGGATTAAAGTCAATAATCAGAATACCAATAGCATAGCCTAGATATACTAAATTAGCCAACATATAACGGCTGCGCAGTGTTTTTCGCAGACAGACAGGAACTCGAGCACGAATATGTTTCCATTTAAGTGCTTCCCAAATCGAGTTGAATGCTTCGACCTCGTTGAAAGGCGCTGTGGGGTCATCTGCTTCATGATTATGAGATTCACATATGCTTATATCTACGCTATTGCCCTTTTGCATCTTTTTTTATAAATTAAATTGTACCAGTGTTACTGACGACGAGCAACGTATTGCTTTCTTGCTCAATAGAGCGTAAAACTAAACACAATAATTTTAGATACTTTTTTCGTTCTCTTTTATCAATTCAGAGTATATGCACATGAGAACATATTTTTACACTAAATAGTATGTGTTCTGTATATTTTTCCAAATTATTCTGTGCCACATAGCTTCCAATGAATTCGAAAATAACTAAAAAATAAATTAGATCAGCATCTGTGTCATGCGGAAATTTAAAAAAAATGATTATGATTAAAACTTATTAGTGTGATAGGACTATCCTACAACTATGGAAAAACAATAGAAAAAAAATTCGCATTATATTTATAATTTTTTGAATGTTGCAGTTGTAGGTGCTACGTAAGCCCGCTAAAGGATTCCTTCTGGTAATAGTACAACGAACAATACTAGTCTCTCGCTAATTTTAATCGCATTTATAAATAGAATATAACTTTTTTGATTTCTACTGTAGCTAGTGGTGTTGATGTGATAGTATGCAAATCTCATCTAAGCTTTCCCTGCTGCTGTTTCAGTTAAGATATTACATAGAAAATTTTGTTTAGCCATTATAAACTGTGAAAAACTCAATCTGATAAGAATTTTCGTTTGAAGTTCTTAGATAATACTGAATACGATGAAATCCAAGAAAGAAACAAGTGATTTAAATCTTCTCTATATCATCAAAAAACCAATTGACATTTTAGTGAGCTATCGTGATTTTGGGTGACTTTCAGGGTTATTGTGTGATTTTCAACAGTTTCTACTTATTTACGACGACTTTTCGCTTTTTTTTCAAACTCATCGTAGCGCACTCTAATCATCAAATCGTCCGTTTTCTGTTGATGAGATCGCTCAATTAAGAAAATAAAATTTCTGACAAATGCTTCTATTTCTTACAGTCCTTGATAATCATGTTTGGAAAATTTCATGTTTTTGTTTTCACCATTAAATTTCACTTTATTCTTTACCAATTATCTTATATACATACATGTTTATTTTATGTATGTCTTGCTACTCATTCACTGTACTACCCTCGTATAGGCATCATTACGGATTCATTCATCTAAATCAGTATAAAGATTGCGACCAAATGTGCGTTACCAAATTAGTGATGCTATAACGAGTGAAATATGTAGAAGTGATTCATTTTTAGAGAAGATATTTTATCATATTGAAAGTTACTGCGTTATACGCCATCTCATCACTATTTAATAATAAATAAAATGATGGAAGAAATTTATTATCAACTAAGTATTAAAAAGTTTTGATACAGAATTCGTAGTTTTAAATAGAATGGCCTAATCTAATTCACGTTTTCTTTTATCTTATAAATAATTGTAATATTTATTTATTTGCTAGCTAGTGAAAATTACAATCCATTCGCTAGTCTTGAGGTTTTGCAATGAAGAAAATTGTTCACAGAAAGTAAGCTTTTCTAAAATTTGATTCCAGCATTATCAATTTTAAGGAGCCTCAATCTGTAATAGTTTGCTTAAGTTTTCGAGCAATTTTCTCTAGCTGTGACTTATTTTTAATAGGTACCTATGGAATATAGCGATGAATTCTATACTACTGTTCAGTATATGCAGAAGATATGTGCGAAGATTGATTTGCTGAAATATCATCTTAATTAATAAATCCTAGCAAAGTTGCAATCAATTACTTCATTCATTTAAAGAAAAGAAAGATAATTATGAATGGAAACACTTTCAATTCGTGCTCAACGTTTTAGTGACGATTCATCAGGTTTTGTATCTAACTATAATTTTGTGAAAAAGAATCAATACGAGGGTGAACCTAACCCTATCGGTATTTGCAATTTGGAGATTGCAGAAAATCAACTTTGTGAACTAGAATTAGTCAAAAGATTACAATCAATACAAACTTGGAAAGCATATTATAACTATTATTCATTACCAGCCGGTGAGCTAACATTAAGACAACAATTATGCCATCTATTCGAAGACATACTTCAATTCGACCCATTCTCGAATTTGCTGCTGACAAACAATTACATATTATTTTTGATGAAATCTATGCATTTAGTTTATTAACGGTACAAAAACATTACTGGATCCTATGCGTACACATTTTCTTTGGTCATTTTAGTAAAGATGTTGGTCTTACTGGCGTACGCTTTGGTGTTCTCTATGGTGGTTCGAAAAAATTGTAGACAATTGGAGCTGAATTGAATTTTCTATTTGGACCATCGAGTGTTGTACAACAAACATTAGCCTCATTACTAGCTGATCATCAATGGATTCATTCCTATATCAATATGAGTCGTACTTGTTTGGTAGAGCAATATCAATTAGTAAAAGAACGTTCAGAAAAACTTGATCAACGTATTATCATTCGAACACCAGAAGCCAGTTTTTCTATATGGATCAGTTTTCGAATTTTGATGCACTGAATTACATTCGATGAACACCATCGTCTATCGCAAATAATATTCGATCACTGTCTGTGTATATCAAATGTTTTTTCATATGGTTGTTCAGAACCAGGTTGGTTTCGACTGTTTTTTTTTCTGCCAAAACTACTTCGACTGATGAAGGATTAAAACGATTACAAGCCGCTTTAGATGCCCATTGTCACTCTTCTATTTTATCTTCTTCGTAATAGATCGACTCATTTCTTGGTTGTGCATGACGATGTGTTTCTGCTTCTATTTCTATGATATAAACTTTGAAATAATTATTTCAATCTTAATATGCAGATCTGGGTATCTTATTCGATCAGGCCCACACCCACACCCTCCGATTGATATATCAGAAGTTTATTTGTGCTCACTTCGCCATACTACTTGTTGTTGTTTTAATATCATTAGATATTCATCAATAAAAGAAAAACGTAAAAAACAAACAAAGTAATCTATATCCTTACCTAATATATTGAAGTTTTCATGAAGAACAACAAGTTTACGGTCATTACGATGGCTTGTCATTATATCGTGTGATTCACCTAAACGGAAAAAAGGAAAAAAAAGAAAGCTATGTTTATTCTCACCAAAGAGTTTAACATTAGGTTCATTGCAACGACTTGCTGTTTTGGTTGTTGTTGTTTCATTCCCATGTCAATGATTACGGAGGACGGATACCGTAGGAGCCGGCCGGAAAGATGCGGAAAAATCACCGTATCTGGACGAAAAGCACGGGAAAGCGGAAGCAGTATTCCGGTCAGTTTCCTGTGCTTTGCAACTGGAAGTTGATCGGAATCCAGAGGAAAAAAATTCGACAATTTCCGACCGGAATACTGCTTCCACTTTCCAGCGCTTTCTCGTGTTTCCGGCCGTTACTCGCCGTACCTCCACGACCTGAGTTGTTATCCGATTTTTCTAAATAACGGAAAGAAGTTTGAATTACATCAGGAGTGTGTTCACGCGTGTCTGCAGATTTACTTTGTTGCTTATTCATCGTCATTCGTTTTTGAAATGACGATTATCGGATATGGATATTTGTAGAAGAAAAGAAGAAGATTTTCTTCGTGGCTTTTTTTTACCTTTTATGCGAATAACAATGATTCCAGGGTATGCACTGAATCAAAATGGACCTCGAATTTCAACGAGCAAACCACTTTTATCTAATGCGTGAATAGATAGAATCAAATTAGTCGCTTACTTATTCCGTCATCTAATATCGAGACTATGTAGTTCATTCATTTTGATGTGCATCTGTGATGCGTTATCTCTTTAAAAATGCATTCAACTACTAAATATATGTTATGGATTCTATTTTATGATAATTAAATGTACATAAATATTATTAAAATAGGATATTTTTTCGATAAAATGTTTATTTAGAAAATAGTGAAAGATACAAATTGATGAACATATTACAAATATTAAAATAGGATATTGTATCTGTAAACCCAGGTCGTCAAATCCGACAGGACTTCTGGGTGAGGAATCTAACAACGGATCCGAAAGTCGGATTCCTGCGATCATCCACCAATCTCCGGCCGTCGGAACCAATAAACTCTCCTACTATCGATTTCGATCAGTTGTTAATAGGATTCGTAGGCCATCTCTACATTTCATGTTCATAGTCAATGCTTTTCAACCACATCTAATAGAAACCACATCAGTATTTCACGGTAAATTTTTATGAAAAAATATTCGTGAAATCCTTCGTGTTTCTCACGAGTTTCAAAGGCGTTCTATATCGTCAACATGCACATCTTTCCACAAAGCCATAAAACAAATTTTTCAAAATCATTACACTTTGCAATAGGTCATCGAGATCCAACAATCAGAAACCACCATCGTCGATTCCGGCCCAGAGGATCGAATAGTTGTATTATAGCTGTTTCCCACGGGATCCTGGCTGTTAGATTTCCTTGGATTCAGACCCCGGGGATCCGATAGTTGTTTCCGATGGGGTGATCAATTAACTATTGTTTATTTCTATTAGAATATTTTTTTAATTTGATTTTGTTCATATTGAATAACTTCATGAAATATTAATTTTTTCCATTGTTCAACGAAATAATTATATGGACCAGTTGATGTTTAAAGAGTAAATCTTTTTTCTTTAATATAATGCAAGAACATATTTTAGTGTCTCCCTCAACTTAGTATTAGTTACTTTGATTGTAATTGGTGTCTTTTCATTTATTATTTATAAAGAATTATTTTACATTTAATTTGAAGAAAATGAATTGAAGAATTGAATTTGTTGCTGAAAAACAAAAATATTGATGTTATAACATCACTTGAAATATAAAATCTATCATTGGAATCAAGTTGAAATTTGTTCCATTACAGAAAAATCATTTCAAATTCCAATCAAATTTAAATTGATGGTTTTGTTTGGTTTATTAGGTCTAATTGACACGGTTGGTTGTTCATGATCTTGAGGGTGTGGATGGTAACTTGTTAGCATTTATTCGTGCATACACAAATAAGTGTGACTGCTGCTTGTTTTAACTTGATGATTTTTCGAAACAAGTTCATTAATTATTTATAATATGTCTGAAATACGGCCACGACGTTTGCCTTCACCTATTTTCATTAGAGTAATCACATTCACCCCAAGAGTTACAAATACCTGTACAGTGATCGTATCTCAAAATTCGTGATTGCATTTTTCTGAATATTTCAAAATAGCAATTATAAAGATAATTGAATATCCATAAAAATGATTTTGTCTTTTCTATCGTTTGTTTATATTTGCAAAAGAAGGTATATTATGTACACAAGAGAAAGAACGTAATTCAATTGACTTTTTGTCCTTTATAAACCGGTGGTTTTGGATCACTTGGTAAATCGATAAATTCTTTTTCTACTTCAATATTGACTTGTTCTTCAACATTTTTTTTATGTGGAAGATCGCCTAATGTCATTTGTTTTCGTGGTGGTGGATCTTGAAATACACCGGGACCTTCGAGTGGGTAGCGAAGATGTGAATAGGGATTATCAAGTGGTCCATATTTTTCAACAGTTGTTAGCACTTCTTCTTCTTTCAATTGTTCATCCATTTTTCTGATTTCATTTAATGATTGTTGAATTGTATACACTTGATCATCATATTTTGGACCAACACACCATAATGTTTCAAGATCATTCTGCTCACGTGTTTCAGCGTCCATCAAGTGCAATACTATATAGCCTAAAAAAATCGACATAAAGCTCGATAGTAATCTCTCCTACAAAACAACAAACCCATATCCATTGCATGCCATCTTGAACCATCACGACAATCATTACTTAAGTAGGGATCACTGGATTTCTTTTTGGCTTTATACTAAACAATACATGCATATGTATAGAGAAAAAATAGAGAATTTCGATCATATTTCTATCGATTGAACTCATTCTTTGCCCAACGGTAGAAGCTACTCTAAGGTCTCATTTCGAAAAACTAGCATGACCATCTTGATTAAAAGACAAAGAAGATATTCAACTTCTTCTTTTTTTCTCGCCAATGAATTTTGAGATGCACTTTGTACATTTAATTTTTCCTTTAAAATTATTCCTTACTAATTTATTAACATATTCACTTGTACTTGTCAAATGACGACCACTGAAAGCAGTAGCTAATATTAAATATCGTGCGTATTGCTGTTCAGGTGGAATTTCAATAACACATATATCTTTCATGCGTTCATCACGAAGTAATTGCACGAGATCGTCTAAATCGAAGACACCGTTTTCTCCTCCTAGAAGAAGAAAATAATAATATTTTCTATTTTCAAGAAAAATTTTATCGAAACAAACGTTTGAGTTCATGACGATATTCATCACGAGCTGATGGTTGATTATTAATTTCAAGTTTTTCAAATTCATATAATTGTTCAATATCTTGTTTGCGTTGTTTGGGAATATTTTGAGCAAGTTCTTCGATTGTTTGTTGATTTCCTGGATGAAGATGAACACGAGGTTCATTATTTGAATGAGAATTTGATGATCGGCTAGCAGAACGATGCACCGTAAAAGCGAATTGTCGAATAAACGTAGGTATTAAACGTAACATTGCCTTTTTCTTATCTGAAATAAACATATTTTAATCACTAGAAAAGTATTTTATTCGATGTACTGTAAATCAACAAACTTTTATCTGGAAGACAGAAGAAAAAAGTATACAAACATGCAGAGCTATTTCTTACGGCGCAGTTAATTCAAGCATTTTTTGAATGTTAAGTATCTTTTCACGTGGTTTTCCTTTTGAAAGACCAAGATTTGTTTCATGTGCATCAAGTTTTTTCCAATCTTCATAGGAAATGCATCGAACCTGACGAGATTTAGCCAGAGATACTAAACCGTCGCCTCCTGATTTAATGTCACGTAAATTAACCAAACGACCTTGTTCAATATCATCGATAATTCGTTTAGCAATTGTATGGGCTAGAATATTCAAATAAGAAAAATATGATGATTACTAAAAAAATCAAATTTATTTTACATTCTGTTGTAGTTTCAGCAATAACACCCCGAGCTCCTCGTCCAATCCAACCGGCACAATAGAAACCAGGTCGATCATCAATACGATTTTGTCGATTTAGAATAACACCACGTTCATGATCAAATGGTAACCATGGATCGATCTAATTATAGTTGAATGAGATAAAGCGTTCTCTACTAGACTTCGATATTGTATTCGAACTGTGACTTTGCAAGTCTACTCAAGATATTGGCGATAATAAACAATCTCAGCTATCGTTTTAGCTTCATTTGAAGAGAAAAAAAACGTCGAAGACCTGCTTTAGTTTAGAAGTCTATAGACACTCGCTGCATTCTTACTTGAATACCCTGATAACCAATACTTTTGATAACAAGGCCGCATGGTATTGTTTCGATGGTTTGATTTTGTTGAACAGGTAGATTTTCTTCAGAAAAATTGCAATTTCCTACCGGCTGTGTATGTTCAAAATCAATACTTTCGACGGTGGTTTTTCCATTGAATTGTTTTGGACGACGCCAAAATTTTAAATACCAAAAACGTTCTGCTACTTTCTCTTTTGAGTGTTCTAGATAGAAATAGGTTCTTCCAATGAATAATAATAAATTCAGACAAAAAGAAAAGACAGACTTGCTTGAACTGTTTTGAGCAATAATTCAGTTAATCTTTTTCTTGGTCGTTCTAATTTATCAATCATATTTTGATCGATTCGATTGAAATCTTCTTGATTCAATCTTGATTTCACACCAGTTAATTTCGTAAGTTCGCGAAGTTCTTTTATAGTAAATGATACTTGCATAGGTCCGCGTCGGCCAACAAGTGTGACATGACGGATTCGACTTTGGCGAAGTATATCCAATGCTTGATCAGTAATGTCTGTTTTAGCTAAATCATCAATCGACGAAAGAAGAATTCGAGCACAATCGAGTGCTACATTTCCCATTCCAATAATCACAGCTCGATCTGTACGATCAAGTTGTGGTCGAAGTTCAGCATTTTCTGGTACACCTATTTGAAAAACTTGCCGATTATGAATTCGAAACACTTTTCAAACTTTACCATTATACCATCCAACAAAATCTTTTGCAGAAAAAACATTTGCTAATGTTTTTTCGCCAGGAATATTTAAACTACGTTCAACAGAAGAACCATAAGCAAGAACAACAATATGATAGAAATCTTGTAGTTCTTTTAATCCAACCGTTTTGCCAATATGAACATTACCAATAAAACGTACATTTTCATGTTCTGCTATTTTTGTAAATGTATGCATCACATTTTTCACTTCGGGATGATCAGGTGCAACACCATATCGAACGAGACCGAACGGTACTGGTGCTCTTTCAATTATGTCTATTGTTGTTGGTATTGTCTGACTAAGTTTAAGTAGATTTTGTGTCAAATAGAAACCAGCTGGACCACTGCCGACAATACATATCCGTATTGGAGACGAAGATAACGTAGAATTAGTTGTAGCTATCGACAGAGATCGTTGAATAAGACAAGGTATAAAAGTACGTCGAATAACATGAGTAAACATGAGTAAGATATGTAAAATAATTCTAGAATAAAGTACGCAGAATAATTCTCAGTAGCTTACTTGAATATTCATTCGATTGTTCAATTTCTTATGACTCAATAATTTGGGTTTTTTGAAATAAGAAAAGAATCTTCCGCATGCAAAATATTTGGAGCGGTCTCAATATTGAATAATTACTTTTCGTTCATTCTACGAAGTCGATTTACCTAACGTATAACAATTAAGTTTTATTCTTCAAACGCATTTTTACGAACATTTTGTCTATTAAAAATAACCACATATCATATTAAATATGTTTAATTTTCACACTGAATATAAAATAGTACAACAACAACAACAACAACAACACAAAAGTGAGCTTCTTCTATTTTTGAGTTTTTTGTTTTTTAACTTCAACCATAGGTCGCTCGCCTATATTCGATTGTGAATCAGATGGTGTACGTTCTTCTTTTCCTATGATGTGAAGAAAAAAACAGAAATAGTATTTATTACGTTTGACGCTTCTTTCTAAAAATTTGTATATGTACGTGAAATATTAGTATCGCCACCAGCAATTGCTGCAGCTTCACTATTGGCTGTTGAAGGAGGTAATGCATTTTGTGCAGCTGTTCCAGCTGGTATTCGTGGTCGAAAACGATCATGATAATTAGGAAATATTGTATCGAAACGAACACGTTGAGTATGTGTCAAGATTTTGTCTTTCGATGGATCTTTCTTTGTTATTTCATCTATATTTATGAATGATAGATTTCAAAAAATGAAGAGAAACTCGAAAGAAACTAACCAGTAGAATTATTCGTTTTCCAATAATAACCTGACGAAGGATGATAAGCAGCTCGTTGTGATGCTGCAAAAACAAACCGATAGAAATTATCTTCGTGCCGATGAATTATTACCTTCATCGAAAGCTTTGCCAAAATGATGAACAGCAGTTAACTGAAATAATAAAATCAGTGTAATACAAATAATGATTGAAATGAAGTATATCTACCAATCGATGGCTAATAACAGATGCTGCATCAGGAGCTTGATAGATATGACCTGGCGCAAGAATATAATATTCTTGAAGTGGTCGTACTAAAAGAAATGTTTTACATGAAATACATTTCTAGATTCAATTCTATAGAAATGACACTTGACATTCCAGAGTAGTACTATGCAAAACGATCATCTTCTCGGCTGACATCTTTGCCAACCCGGAGAATTTAGACTTCAAAATTCTTAGAACAAAATTGATTACATACATTCATTGGGTCCTTCACGGTAATGTTTTCGAATAATATACAAAACTGGATCTTGTCGATGTATAAGTGCATATTCAATACCAGCTGCATTTAACTATAAAAAATAGCTTTCAATCGAGATGAATTTATTTCATGATAGCGTACCATAGCTTCGGCTGGCAGATTGTTCATATAAATCTGTTCATTTAAACTCGATTGATCATAGAATGGATTTCCTATTTGACAGAAATAAGCTAATGCTGTTTCTTCATTTAATTCTGCATTAAAATGTTGAAACCATGATAAATCACTCCAATTAAGATTTAGTAGACTTTCTAGATATTTCCATGGAAAAACAAATTGACGATTTTTATTTTGCTTAAAAGAAGAAGAAAAAATTAAGATTTACCCTTTGATAAATCCATCTAAGAAATCTATAAAGGATCAAAAACGAATAATGATCACATCAATATGTATGTTCAAAGTCATGTTAACGTTTTTTCCTCGTTTTCCAAAAAAGCGAAATTTTATCAACAAAAAAAAAGAAAAAAGAAAAGAAAGCACACTATTCTACACAATCTGTAGTTTTAGGTTTTTCTAAATTATAATCAAACGCTAGAGAACTCGGCGACGACATTCCGCTGAACCACAATGGCAATCCATTCGACGGCCGGCTATTTCGCCCACTGTATAATTATAATCCCAGCTAAAAAATAAATAAATCCATTCAAATTCAAGTTTCTATACATCTTCTGTTTCATACCATAGTTCTGTGCCTGATCGTATTGTCTTTGTAGCAAAAAAGCCAATCCATGGAAAATGTATATCATGTGTCTGATGAATAAATAGGGCAACTGTTGTAAAAAAGCAAACTGAAATCATTAAAACTTACATCAACAAAAACGTTTTGTACAGCAATGTTTGGCGAACACGAATGATTAAAATATCGACCTATATTACCGACTAATTTCGCGTCAAGTGTATATACGACACCATCATAATCAGGCAATAATGTTCGATTTAATGTTGAATTAGTATCGTTATCTCCTGGTGTTGTTTTTGATGATTTTTTTCCATCTTTTTTTAATAGTTCACGTGCACGTGCTTGAAGATTAGCATTCCGACGACGAGTACTCGCTAATGAGAATCGACAATTAATTTTAGTTTAGATACAATTTTTGTTATCTCGCATCAATACAATAAAAATTGAGTTAGTCATAGAAAGATTAGTTTCTTATCTATCTATGAGAAGTATAGATCACACTCAAGTTCAATTGTTTCAAAGGCTGACTTTTTCACTGCTAAACTATGAGTAATATCGAATCCGAAATACTCTATATAAAATGTACCTGATTCCGAACTTGACGGAGACGTGTCACTTTCGTCTTCTTCTTCATCGTCCTGTTCTAAAATGCCACCATTCTGTTCTTCGTCAGAGTCATTGTTTATATTCTTTAAAAAGTAAAATATAGATAACCGTGTAATATTTTTTCAAGTTTTAACATTTACTTCGAAAAAATCCAAATCTGCTTGATATTCATCACCGAGTAATTTCCCTCTCTCATCAGCTTGTTCACTAGTAAAAATTTCGCCCGAGTAAACACTAATAAAAGTACCAACAGGTAGATCATGTAAAGTTCTCACACCCCAACCCCGTGCAACCGTTTTAAATAACTATGAGAAAAAAAATAATAGTATCATTTGATTTATTAATAAAAAGAAAAAAAGTTTACCTGTAACTGTGCAATAATACCATTTTGAACAACACGATTGGAACATGTTTGTTTATTACATGAACATCTACTATTACATTCATAAATTCCTCCGGGAACATTTTTATGTAAACGCCGAAAACGATAACCGAGGTTATTGAGAATTTCTGCGTCACTCTTATGTTTTGCTTTCATGGCTTTAACACGTTCATCACCGATTAATTCTGCATATTTCAAAGTGCGCAGCCAACCTAATCAAGTACAAAAGCGTATAAATCATAGGTCTTTCGATTTCGGGGAAAAAATACGAATTGGAATAAAACTAGTGATTAGCATAGAAATTTTAAACCCATGAAAATAGATAACTTATTTCTAGTCATTATAACGTGCTTCTTTTTCAAATAGCTTACAAGCACATTTAATTCTATTTCTACATCCATCTGTACAAGTACAACATGTCATTCTTGGCTCATTAATAACCATATTAACGCCGGCAACCGGCGTTCGTTCAACGCGATATGTAAATGCACTTGGTTCTTCAATTTTGCCAGGTTCTTTATCAACTTCATTAACCACTGATATTGGAATGTTTTCTTGTTCATTTGATATATCCGGATTTAAGATTTTACCATCTGGACAATAATGTTGCTTAGCATTAACTTTACTATCATATACAAATAATTCAATTGTTAATTTTGATTTTGTTTCGTGAAGATAATTATCTACTTGAGTTTGACTTTGAAGTTTTCTACCGCCTAAACGCAATCGAAAATATTTTCAAAATAGAATACAAAATCTAGTGTCCATCGCTATCTGAAAACTCTATTTGAACTTACATGGCGCACAATAGATGTACGCTGAACGTGTTAATTTAAGGCGAACATCTCCAACTTTTCGAACTCGTAAATTGTCCAACATGGTCCAATGGCATGCAAATGGCTTTAGGAATGGATTCATAGTACGTGGCAACTGATGAAAATGTTTTTCAGCATAAACAACACATTTATGTGAACAATCGTGTGGATGAAATTCATAGGAATAATGAAGAAGAAATTTTTCGGCTAATTCAATAAATAGTGGATTAATAACGATTTTTGAATTTGTATTTGTCTACAAAAAGAAAAAGTAGTAAAAGAGAATTTCTATATAAAGAAAAACATACATGGCTTGAACGTAGTTGCATCGATGTAGTAGTACCACCATGATTGGACGAAGTAGACGATGACGATGATTGACGATTAAGATTTGTAGAAGATGAATGATCATTATTTAAAGAGGGAGAAGAAGAGGACAATGGCAATGTATTTTGTGTACTGTTATTTGTTTGACGCGGTCGAAGTGTTCGCGGACCAGTTTGCACTGATGTTGTTGATTGCATCGATGAAGATCTTAGAAGATTTTGTTCACTCGATACTCGAATGCGTTTTATTGATCCTGAACAAACAAATATCCCGGTGAAATCATTTCATCCAACGCTCTAAAAAAACATGTTACTAACTTGTTTCATCTGTTCCATCAATAGCTTGTTCAGCAGTTCGAACCAATGTTCCTTTATTGCCTGCTGTCTGTTCATTGAGACAGATTATTTCGGGCGCATTCGTTCTTTTAGCTGACAAATGTTGTCGAGCCGTCCGACGAGCAAATCCATTGACAGCAGCTTTATTTTGTGTTGAATAATAATTATGCATTTGATCTAACAATGGCGAACCTCGATAGAGCCATTTACGTTGTTTACTATGACTTAATTCAATTTGCATCATTGAACCATCGATTTGTATGACAAGCGCAGGTACAAATGAATTCGGATTAAAATTAGTAAATACATTTCGAACTTTAACAAGAGAACCTTCTTTTGCTCTTAGCATCATACGTTCAGGATAGGATGCAAAATATCGATCGAGAAATTCATTTTGACATTCGTGTTGATGCATGGAAAATGTTTGATCGAGACAAATATGAATATGTGACGATGGATGATAACTTGCCGACATATTTTTTGTATCATCAGTAAAAAAGACTAGACAACGGTAGTCATTATTTTTTCCTGGTTCCTCACCAATTAAACCATATCGACGAGTACCTTTCTGAGAATCAAGTAACAGCACGCGTAATTTCAACGGTAAGATAATATTCGATTCGCATGGCTTAGCAAAATAAAGCCATTTAGTCGGTATATCATGTACTTTACTTGTTGTTTCATCAAGTACATTGATTATTTTAGTATGTATCAAATCAGCAATAAATGTATTCGTTATGCCTTTGAATGGTAAACGCGCATCCAGATCATTTTTAATAAGAAGATTTTCACGTAAATAAACCATATGAATCGGTTTATAATTAATATAAACAGGCCGATTTATTGGCTGAGCTGGAGTTGAACCGATATGTATAATACTATCATCTTTATCTTCATTTTCAGAATTGAATAATAAAAAAATTTCATGTACAATTCGATTGTTTTCATTTAATTGTTTTGATAGTTTTTCAGATTTAAAATGACTTAGATGTTCTAATTCGGATATAATTGCACAAAAATATTTCATGGTAAAACGTCGTTTTAAATTTTCAATTAAGAAATTCGTATAATTTTCAATAATAGATTTTGTATCATTTTTATTTTTAAGATTTATTTCAGATGTTTTAGAATAAAAACATATATCATCAAATTCTAAATAACGTTTCATACACAATTTACTAAAAGTTTCTAACCATGCTAAATCAATTGTTTGAAAATTAATTGAGGAAAACAATACACGATAGTCTTCAATTTGTAATAAATCAAATAAATGAACAAGAATAGATTCAACTGTTGTCGACTGACGGAGTTTTTCTGAAGATATAAAAGCAAAGACGAGATTTTCACAATTATGAAAATTTTCGAATTTCAACTTAAAAATCAAGTTATTCGATTGTGTTTATTCATCGACACAAGTAGTGTATCTATCAGACTCTATCGAAACCTTTTACGGGCCCCGTGAGCAATTAAAAAACAAAGCGAATCACTCAATCAAGTATTTAGTATGTTTTATTTTTTTTATAAACATTCCTTCTCTAATACGTGAAAATACTTACGTAAATATTTTCGTTCATCATCAAATGGTTTTAATGTATTGTCGACATCCAACCTAAAACAAGGAAATGTATGAAGAAAAAAAAAATTTTATTTTTCTATTTTTAACTTCAATTAATATCTCTCTGAGTACAAACAATCAATACATAAAGCTTCTATATGATTGTAGTCTTTCTATCAGAGATTCGTCTACAACGTTCTACACTTACCTCAATAAACTAACTCGTTGTCGTTCATTTGGCATTATATCTAAAAATTGTTTTTCATGACGAGATAAAAAAAAGTTTTTTTGCCTTCGTTTTTAAAACATCTTAACATCATTTATCATAAAACAAAGCACAACAACAATAGTAAATAATCTTGTAAAAGAAAACAAAAGCAGGCGACAAAAAGGAAAACCATTACAAGCAAACACATGCAAGCGAAAAAAAAGTCGGAGCAATAACCATCGGTCATTACTCAAAACAAACACGTAGACAAAAAAAAATGAATTTATATAAATATGCATTGAGATTTTTCTTTTTCCTATGTATCAGATATTGGACTGTATAAAGGAGTATATTCATTATCAGGTAAATCATTAGGATAATAATTTTTAAGTCTTACATGCCATGCTATAGATGTTACTGCTGATAATGAACGAAATTGATGAATAACATTTCGTGGAATAAAATAAATATCCTAGAAAATTTAAGCAAAAATTATGGAAACTAAAAAAATTGTTTTTCTTCTTACGTTATCATACAGTGGTAGACGAACATAACGAATACCTTCACGACGTAATTGATTAAGTTTACCATCGTCACACCATTGTAAACACTAGAGAACACAAAAAACCTATAATGGTTTGGATTCATCGAATTTAGCTGTTTACTTGTGAAACTGGTGGTTCGTAAATATCGATTTTTAATCGATCAACAATTTTTTCAAAATCTTCAGCATGAAAACAAACAACATCTTTTACCATTCGATTTACTGCGGACCTAACGGAAACAAAAAAAACTTAAATGTTAGTTTCATCCCTGAAATAACAACGGTATAACGTACGGTGTTCCAACATGTATAGCTTTCAATATTCCAACAGCTGCCGTTGTCTCTAATCCATCACTATCACAATGATCACTGTGTGGTTTAGTTCGATCTTCAACGAGTACTTCGCGTGGGTCGGTTCCACGGCCTAGAAATGCTAAATTGCGTAGTTCATTAGCCATGCGTTTCTTCGGATGACAATTCTTATGATCAGCTGTTGGAACATATTGTTCGCCTGGTCGAATCCATAGTATAGGTCCATCGTTTGAGTCTGTTCTCGATTGCATTTTTTGAGATGATAATGTTCCCCATGGCATAACAGATTGTAGAAATGGATTTTCTTCGAGTTTATCAAGAAATGTTGGAAAGTAATCACCTAGTAAAATAGAAGAAGAAAAAAATCGAATATCTTATGCGTGAAATTTACGTGTCAATTAGCACGGACATATGACCGTCACGCTTCATTGACTCTATCGTTTCTTCGCTCGATGATCTTGCATTCATCGTTGGCCTCGGCTATACACGCAGAGACACACAAACACATCATAACAACTATACGAGGTTAAGTAGCTTCATGAAGGGAGGGGAGCTCGTGTGTTTGTTTTTTAGGTCAACGAAATATTTCTTACCACATTCTTCTTTGCCGGTAACTGTTCCCACTAATGATATACTCATCAATGGTCCATATCGAAATGTTCCGTTCGAATAAGTTTGTACAATGCGATTTCTATATTCTCCCAATGTTGTAGTGAAAATTTCCTTGGAATTAAATACATTTGTTGTTTTTACAACCATTTTTGGATAAGTTAAACTAAAATAATCAACTAAATCAGGTAAATATCTAGCTCCATCATGTAAAACACCAATAGAATATTTGGCACGTTGATTAACTTCACCATAGACAAGATTAAAAAAGTAATTAACAAATAAATGAGCATCTTCATTTGATAGGCGTACAAATTCATTATAATATGTACGTATTAGACTTGCACCGCCATTCGGATGTTCTTCAATATGTATAAGACTTTGAAATAATTGTGAACGATCATTATTACTATTTGTTAATGATAGATCAGTATAGGGCGATGAAATTCTTTGTTGTGAATAATCCATCGATTGATTAATTAGAATAGGCGATGATACAGGAGATGACGGTGTCGGTATGCCATCACATTGTATTTGACTTGTTGTTGTTTGACATAAATAAACTTGAGAATCATTTGGACAATTAAGATCAATTGTTTGAGTTTCTTGTTCATCTTTTTGTATTGTTTGTGTACTATTTTCACAATAGGGTTGATCGATAAAATCTGTATACGTTGATTTATCTGATTTAATTAAATAATTTGTTTGAGTCGGTTGATGAAATACTTGAATAAGGTCACCCGTTGTTTGACATTCGTTTGTTGTCTGTTGTTTTGACAGAGATGGGAAAATATATCTATGTTCACTATGAGATTTATCATCGATTAATGTCGATATTGATAGGAATTCAGTGCTTAAACGACGTTTTATTGTTGATGGACGATGTTCATGGATCGGTTGATGTTTTTGTTTCAGACGTGATGATGAACGAATTTGAACTAGTGTATCGGAAGTTTCTTTAAAACAAAGAAAATAGACGCCCTTGAATTATCAAACAATTTTTGTTTCGACTAAATTATTTACATACTTATATTCTTTTTATCGTGTTGATCATTTTGTAGTTTTCGTTTATATCCATTGGTTTTGGTTGTTTGATTTTTTAATGTATTTTCATCATAGATATTCATGTGATTAGTAATAATTGTTTTTGAATGATCGTAATTGGTTGAATTTATCTTTAATGAATCACTTTCAATTAAGGACGTACGTCGTGTTGAAATCATTCGACGTACCAATGATTTATTAGTTGATTCGGAATTTGTATTAAAAACATTTCTTGAAATTACTTTTGTTTTCGATTGTTCATTGGATTTATTGATTGATAGTGTGTCGGTTGGTGGTGATGGTGATGGTGAACAGACACGTCGTATATGTAGTTTTATTGATGTATGTTCATTTGGTACATCGATCGAACGTATCGTTGTTGACGGTGTTCCATTTGTCGTTAGAACATTATAGGAAGATAGATCAATTTGTTGATTATTTGTTTTACATTTAATAATTTTCGATTGAATATGTTGTTCATCGTTATCATCAATTATATCGTTAGGATTGTTCTAAATAGAGATGCTTTGGTTTTTCTTTGGTAAAAATAAATAAGAGAAAATCAAATTGTATACTTTGGTTTCATCTGTTATTGCCAATGATGAGACAATTTTATTAATATCAGTCATTCCTTCATTCAAATATTTGACGAATGCTGAAATTTCTTAGTTCATATCGTTTATTTGACACTCGATGGATGATGTCATTAATTAATTGGAAAAAAAAAGTTTCACACAATAAGCCTAATAGATTAAAAGGTAGAAAAACGAAAAATTTCTTATAGTAAAGGTAATATCAGCATGATATAACCAATCAACAAGCAGTCGCCATATTTAACTGACAATAAACTCTATTGTGGACAACAATATATATTGAGTATCATTGGGGCATATTGAGAATAGATGTCGCTATATATTTATGGCATGTACATTTTGTATTATCTTCATAATTATTAGCGCGAAACGTACACTAGTCCAATACACTAATACATAGATAATTAATCATGTTTGATACAAACAGCACGATCAACGATAATAATCAAAATACATGGAATAATATCAAAGTAAAAATTAAATCTTTGAAAACTAAAGAAAAAAGAAAATCGTGTTCTAGTCATTTTTTAATCCACAAAATTCAATGATTATATTAGCTATTATTTGTTTAATGTTTTTCTTCATAGCATTATGTCTTCTATTGATAATAATTCAATTATTAAAAAAGAAACGCTTATATAAAAATCAAATAAATAATTATCCTAAATTATCAACACCAATACAAATGGGTTTAACATCAAATCAAATATCATCATTAGGAACTATTATTTCAACAAATCGTGATATAAAACCTCAAGAATCATTACCACAAACTACTCTTCCTTTATCAGTTCATGAAAGTAATAAAACTGTATCGTCGATTAATAATGATGATGAAGTTGAAACTGTGAATGAAGTTCTTGGAATGGAAGAGCGTAATGGAAAAATTTATTATAAAGTTAATTTTACTGGTCATTCATCGGATTATACTGCATGGGTGTGTGAAGAAGATTTAATTCCAGAATAATAATAGCACAGTTCATTTTTCTTGAACTTCATTTGTTGTACGAACTTTGGGTGTGGTTGTGGGTGAGATGTATCACTCAAAATAACTAAAACTCATACTTACACTCATATCCACACCCAATAAACAATATATTCTAAGAAAATCGTTCAAAATATTGTTTTTTCTTGCCTTTGAAATTTTAGAATAATCAGGAAAATAATTCATCATGGTTTTATTGACTAGCTATGCTCGATTATGCTGAGATAAGAGAAAACGTGAACGGTGTGTTGCATGTGATTGTAGATGAATTTTTAATCACAATAGTGTTTGGTTTTCTCTCCTATCTGATAATACGAAATGTTTTTATTTGATATTCTAACTGCGGCGTCAAAGTCAAATGAAACATCCTTTTTAAAATAAAAAGCGTGTTGAAAAATAAATCAACGCAATAACAGCGTTCTTTTCTTCACAATTTGCGTTGAAATACATATTTTCTCGAGTTGTTTTGACTGTTATAACACAAAAGAATGTCTGAGGTAAAACAACGTTGTCAACTCGAAGGCTGTACTCGTGCAGCCTCTACGCGCTGTTATTGCTGTAACAAAAGTGTTTGTACGCGACACTTTACTGAACATATCGAGGCTGTACGAGCACAGATCGATCCTTTAGCTGATGAAATCAATAGGACGGTTGAGAAGATTCAAGGTCTCACCATCGATCATCTCACCAAAACACCTCGAGCCCAGCTTGATCAATGGAAAGCTGGTATGTATCAGCTTGTCGATGACATTTATTTCGAAAAAAGCCAAGAGATGGACACTCTAATTGAGCAGAATAAAGAAGAGTTTGTCGATCATAAAAAACAACATCTGGAGATGATCATGAAGATCCAAGATGATGTCAAACAATTGGTCGAAGATGGCGATGCAACGTTTGAGCAAGTTCAGCTCGTCAAAGCGCAGTTAATTAATGTCGAGACAGCTATGGGGTTATTTCAAGAAAATTTCATCTGCATCGATGCTCAAATTTCTGGGCGAGATCTCTTAAAAGTGTGGTCCAACTTGAATAAGTTACAAGTAATTCGACCTAAGAGCAGTGTAAAAAAACCGGCCTCTTCAAGTGAGATTTTTTTCGTGTTTTTGTTTCTAAACGAGATCACTTGATATGTCATGATCCAATTTCAGATGTAAACGATCATGCAAATAAGAAGACCAATGAGAGACCGCATGCCGCACAAGCTCCATCATCAATTTTTAGCAGCGGATTCGGATGCTCTCCGCTGGGAAATCCAAAACCTACGCTTTTCAGCCCTACTACATCAACAACAACCGCACCATCTTCGAGGTTTGCTTTTGGAGCTTCAGCGGACGGCGCAGTTACGTCTGTACCCTTCGGTTCAGCCCCAACAACAACACCCTCAATGTTTGCTGCACCCTTTGGTTCAGCCCCAACAACAACACCCTCAATGTTTGCTGCACCCTTTGGTTCAGCCCCAACAACAACACCCTCAATATTTGCTGCACCCTTCGGTTCAGCCCCAACATTTGGTGCTATTAAAAGTGAAACTTCTGGCTTTTCATTCTGTTCAAAACCGTCGGTCACGCCTACCTTTACAGTTTCAACCTTTGGAAATCAAGATGTAACCATAAAGGCCAAACCGCGGCAGCAAAAAAATTAAAACTTTTTTCAAATCTTCGGCGGCGGCTGAAAACTTCGAAATTTAATAACGCTTTAGATGATAAAAAATGTCTGGTTTTGGAATATCTGATTACTAAGAATTTTAGAAGTCCAAATAGAAAAAATGATACTTCAAACGTTTGGCTAATCAAGACGCTATATGTAGGCAATATGAAAATCAGTAATGAATTGTTACTTAGCTTTGCCAGAAATTAAGAGACCTAGTAATTTGAAGGAAGTACAGATTTAATTTATGTATATCAAGATGGCAGAAAACTTGCCCGCCTTAATTTTTAATGATATAGCGTGAAAGATTACCTCTATATTTTAATGCTGCAGCTTCTGTTCTATAGTGACTGGAAGAAGAGAGGAGAGTGTATATTATAATTTGTTTCTTTAGTTTGCTGAGTTTCTATCACATCATGTATTGCTAATAATGAATTTATCATATTACCTGTGCCTCATATACCACTGTAAACACTACGTCTTTTTTAGAGTGAGGATGAATTATCATACATTTCAGAAGGGATAAATATAAACTCATACCTAAAAATATAGCAATCCATATCTAATTTTAAAATGAATTTATATCTAATATAGGATGAATTTATATCTAATTTAGAAAATAGTATATCGAATTTTAAAATAAATTTATATCTAATTTATTAAGTAACACTACCTAACAACACAAAGTTATATCAAATTAATAATTAATTTAATAGAAAAAAATAAAGATACAATTATCAATTATAACAAAAAAACACAGCAAAAAGAGAAAACTCTTGCACAATTAATGCTTTTTTAGCTTTAGCTACACGACCTCGTTTTCTTTTTTGTCCCAATGGAATATTTTTAACTTCCAATGGGATGCTGCATAATTTGTATCGTGCTGCTAAGCCTGTAATGTGTTTACAAATATAATACTTTAAACAAGCTGGACAAGAACATGTACTTTTTGTCCAATTTTCACTTTCATTTAAAAACTCACATTCCCAAAATGATAATTGTTCATTTTTCATAATATCAAAATCACACCAATTAACGTTTTGTTAAGTTCAGATATTTAATTGAGTTAAAAGACAGAACCTTTTTTAGTTCAGATATTCAATTGATTTAAAAGATGTTGAATTACAAAATTAGGTTAAACAATTTTTTTAAAGGTATCGTGTCACCAGAATAGATACTACTGTATTAAGTTAGGCAATATTGATATAATTTAGATATGGATTGATATATTTTTAGATATTACATTAAATGCATGCCATTTCAGAATTTCAATTATCAATACAAACTTTATAAGAAACTCGTAGAATCTATAATATTTCATTCGCTCTTTTTAAATGTGGCACAGACAGCAAACAAACTTTCGATTATCGTTTAAGTAAATGTAGGGGCTTTATTAGAGTAAAACGACTTTTATGAAAATAATGCAAACTCGTTATATCGGGTAATAGATTCCGATACACATCAAAATGAAACCGCCAACATTAATAAAAGTGCTTTACGCTTCTATTGTTAAGGATTCACGTTATTCATGTTTCTTAGATGTAAATAACGGAAAAAGTTGGGAAGAAATTTCACGATTCAAAAATAAATGAACGTGTAGATAAAAATGAAATCTTCGCATTCAGATTTCGGTGGTGACGGTGATTCAGCCGTACGGCTTACACCTATAACTTGAAAGGACTAATATCTTGGAAGAAAAAGACACCGTTGACGATCAGTTGCGATTTGTTGTAGAAAACAGTCTTGCCATCTGAAGATGGAAAATAAAACATTTTCGCTATATTTCACTTGTGTTAGTAGTAACTCTTCTGTTACAAACTTGGTATCGAGTTAGCATTACTATTTTATTACCACGTACGTTTTTTTAACTAAAGACGCCGCCGTGAAAAATGACACTGCAGTTGAGACGCTTGCTAGAAAACTGGCAAAACTTTTGAATCGATCGTATTGAAGCTACAGAGGCTCATTGAGCCTCATGATATTATGATTTGATCGTTACAGGCGGTCCCATGAGACACGGATGCCACTTCTACTCGAAGTGTTCCTGTCTGAACGACGTGCCTGAGAAATTCCCGTGATGAAATGCTTTTTACACGGGAAAAAACTCAAGTTAATCTGAATATTCACATCTTTGCCAGGAATGACTTAGGAGCAGCTCTGAACCAATGCCAATTTTCAGAACCAGATATTTCCCTAACTTTTCCCCAAATCTTCAAAATAAATCGGCCTGGCTTACCAGATCAATTGAGTGTCGAAAAAAATGTTCGACGGTTGATTTCTTGAGCATCATCAAAACCCTATGATCTCACAGCTTCATATATAATGCAGCCACAAAAAGTGTTTACCCATCGCTATCTTGAATAGTTCATATTGTAGTCTTCTGAGTGGGGACACTACCCGAATCAGTGTTGAGCGCGAATACGGTCAAAAATGTCCCCAAAAAAAATGTCCTTTCAAAAATGTCCCCAAAAAAAATGTCCTTTCAAAAATGTCCCTGGTTTTTCGTCCTCCGAAAAAATGTCCCCCGATATTTCGTCCTTGAAAAAATGTCCCTTGTTAAAATGTCCCTTGCTATAAAAATGTTCCTTATTCTTTAATTTTAGTTGCTGAACTGTGTGTTAGTGAAATATAGATGACCCCTTCAAGAAAGAAATATATCGGTGCATATTTTAATTGTCTATTGTAGAGGATACGACTACCGTATCAATGATTCAATAAAGACCAGAAAATATATCGTTTAAATGTCATTCGTTGTTTTGCGTAATATTTTTCCGTAATTGTAAAAAAACGTTTTTGATGAGATCTAATAAGTTGGCAACTATTGATGAAACTAAATGTTTATCGCCATCTCAATCACCTGAAAATTCATTTTTACAACCAAGTCCAACTAAACTAACTATTACAAAAACATACTCGAATAAAGGAAAATTTATGTTAACTGTTAATGGTTATAATTTACAATTTTTAAATTTTAATCGAAAGAAAACTATACAATTTTGGCGATGTACAAACCGAAGTTGTAATGTAATTTTGCATACAAATTTTGATGATGCATTTATAAGATTTTCTGGAACAATTACTGTTCATAACGTAATTTTTCAGATTAATAGCTGAATGAAACGTCGTGCAAAGCGACCCAAGTCAAAAATTGGTGAACAACGTATGAAAGAATTATGAACGATTCGACAAAAACCAAATTGATCCACAAGAATTATTAAAAGAACTTTCTTTTTTTGTCGCAAGTGGAAAATAAATTAGAATTTTATTCGTTTTATTGATTATATCACATGATTGCTTTTATGAATAAGAGCAGTTCGTGTTTTACAGAAAGCACATCTTAGAAATGAAACACATTTTTTCGGACGACAATATTTCTAAGGACCATTTCTCAGGGACATTTTTACCGAAGGACATTTTTTCAAGGACGAAATGTCGGGGACATTTTTGAAAGGACATTTTTGAAAGGACATTTTTTTGGGGGACATTTTAGACTGTTACCTTGAGCGCAGCCGATCCTACTAAAGCTTATTGTCTAGTCGAAACATATATTTTTAAACTACTGCGGGTGAAACATCTGATAGAATGCGAACCAATGAGTACTTAATGATGACAGTGGATCAGTTTACAATAAGACTTTCTTCCGAAACGGTTCAACAAAATTGAAAATTAGACCAGTCTACCCACATCGACAGTACACCATACGTCAAGTCGTAGTCACCAGTGTCCTTACTGGCGGTTGCAACAGTCGCACGAACCGCCACATTTAAATAAATGTAGCTTGCGCAGATAAGTGAGACACTCAACCACCGTAACTGACCAAACAACCATGACGGCCAGCTGTCAGAAAAACCGTTCTTGCCAACGTCGCTTCCACTGTATTCTTACACTAATCCGTGATCATTTCGCATCTTCTACAATGCTCTCTTTATATTACGAAACGTTGCACAGGTTTCTAGCATTCACATATCCAGCATCACCAGAAGTTCAAATTTGCAGAATGTCGTCTATCTGTTTCGTGTTGATCGACTATTCACCTACACTCAGAATCATATCTTCTCTTCCAACAACGTTATCAAACACCGGTCGACATCTATCTCATTTAACCATGTCCACTTTTTATCACAGACATTCACCACACTTGATCTCGGAGGGAATCAAATCGGAGACAAAGGAGCGCAATATTTAAATGATGGATCATAGATTCGTTTGGTGTATGGGGCATTTGGGAGGGGGAATAGTGGAATGTGTATGGGTGTTTCCACCAGCTTCCTCCCACCATTTACAGAAAAGTTTTCAAATCCTGTTTTATTGGTTTCATCTTGTAGAGATTTTTGCGCTGATCATTTTTTGTTCTGCGTTTTCAACGATTAGTTGAGAAATAAGAAAGATATCGAAGAAACATTGAAAATAAGGTTTTTCACAAAAAATGCAGTCTATTTCGGAATGTTAGTTATCTTCAAGGTTGGTGGCCAACATCATTTTCATATGATAATATTGTTGTAGTTGATTATATTAAAGCGAGACTTAAACAAATGAATTATCAATGGGAAAAACAAATTGATGCGGAATCAATAATTGATATTAACATTCCAAAGCAATAATAATGATCTATTTTTCTTTTGTTTTATTTTTATAAAAATATATAGGATTATTTCAAGCTAACGTTGCGCACTACTTTTTCAGCTGGTCAACAAGAATGCATTGATTCATTTCTACTTGTGAAATAGATTTATTATTTCATTTGATAAGCATGATTTAATACTAGTTTTTAACATAATCGGTACATGGATATTTCTGTGAGTTATTTTCTTCGAAATAGGTTTTTGTTTGCACATTTCCAAATCGGTGGACAATTGCTGTACCAAAAAGAAATATAGTTTTGAGGTAAACAAATTCATAAGTCATATAAGGAGGTTATACAAACGGGAAATTCCTTTTAACTGTAAAATGTTTTGGTTGAAATCTTCATTCATGAAGGCATTACGAATAGTGAGCCTACATTTTTCAATTTAAGCTTTACAGATACATAATAAAAGCTATAAAATGCTACTCTCATTTCAAAGCTGTCGTGCTATGAAAAACGTTCGTTGATATTTAACCATGCTTGATTAATATACCACAGTTTGTTTTAAAACATGTTCTTGTCTGGTATCTTCTCAATAATTTGTCGTTCCTTTGCACTTCTCAAACTCTAAAAGTTAGGAAAATTCAACAAAAACGAAACTTCAGCTAATATCGAATTACATTTCAAAGAATAATTTTTAAATTCAATATTCTGCTTAGAGTTGAATTTTGCAGAGTATCTTATAGAATCATCAAAACTATCTTAGAAAAAAATTCTTTTTTTTGATATCTCGAATAAAAAACCCTGAAGCTAAATACAGAAGAATTCACATAGATTATGATTGCATAGAGTAAAAAAGTCAGTCTTTGAAATCGTTTTTTTTTAATTGAAGAACTCCGCATAAATTTCCTTTGAAAGACTAAACCGATCATTTTGTATTGAATTTATTCAGAACGATATTAAACAACAAAGTTTAATTGGCGAGAGCAGCCAATTTTGATTGATAAAAGACATTTTTTTGTTTATTTGTGTACTACGAAAAGAAACAGACGCGCACAGGCATGAATAACAAAAGCTGATTTCAACAGAATAACAAACTAAAAATGTCTTGATGATCTAATCATCATCGTCGTCATCATCACCACCCATTCCATTGCGTATTGTTTTAGGTTTTTTTCCCAATAAATTAATCTTCTTTTTCTTGTCGTTATCATCTGGTGGTGAACTTAAATCTCCTTTATAATCAATAGCACCACCTCGGCCTAAACGCCATTCGAGCATTTCTGTTGAAAAATCATCATGATTTCCTAAATCAGTAAAACCAATAATTTTATCTTTAACTATATTATCGATTAACAAGGCAATGGTTGGTAATGTTTTTATATGTAAACGTTCAGTTATAAATGGTGCACGGTCAACATTTAATTTAACAAATTTTGCTTCAATATGTTTACGGGCTAAAATGTCCAAATGTTTATCAACAATTTTGCATCGCATTGTTGAATCACGATAGAAATGGCAAACAATGCGTTCACTTTTTTTTGTTGTGTCAAATAATTCTTTTTCGCTGGGTAAATCTTCATATTCACCATGGCCTAAAATAGTTCATTGAAATTTTCAGTGTGATACGAAACAACTTTGTTTTAGTTACCATTCGCCATCCATTCTTGACGTTTTTTATGTTCTTGTTTCAATGATTCGAGTCGTTGTGAACGTATTTTTTCCATATCCTCTTCAGTTAATTTTTCTAACCGATTAAGTTCAGCATCAACCTAAATTAAAATAATTAATATGGATTAAATTATTTCCTAAATAATGACTTGTTCTTCAACAGCTTGTGCCGCTTGCATTAATTTCTGTTCGAATACTTGTTCCATAATTGTACTGTCTGTAGATTAAATCTATAAACTGAAAACGAATTAGTGTGCGTGAACAAGTTTGTATATTATATATATGAGGTTCGCATCGTACAAACAAAAGAAAAAAACAAAACATGTTTGAAAAATGCATTTGACAATGAATAGCCGTTGCTATCGAAACTTCCATTGGATAATAATTACCATTTGTGTAGATCCTTGTTCGTATACGGCGGTTATGTTGTACTGACAACTAGTGTCATCTGATCGTTTTTTCAATGTGTGAAGCTTACATTTGTTAGTATTCGAAATCAATGTTTTAGCAAAAAGAACGAAAAACTGTGACCACGAATAAATGAATGTATCTTATTCTAAAAACATCTTTTCAGCCAATGTCAAATTGATTGTTAAAAAGATTCTTTTTTCGCTGATATTTCCACAATTATTCTCTTGTAAGAAACAAAACGGCATACTTATCAAATCACTGTAGAGAGAAATCATGAAATAGTGACTATTACATAACAAAGGATAACTAATATTCTTTTCTTTTTGTTTGATACCAGTACACATACATTACAACTAGCTAAGTTACATGTCTAAGACCAAGATAAACTACTTATGTCTGTTCTTTTGACACAGAAATGAAATATTTATATAAAAAAAATAAAATTATATTAAAACATTTCTAATAAAACTTTCGATTTTCGTAAAAAATGTCGAGAGTCAATGCATTTAACTTGTACAAGAAGAGGATGTGGGTGTGGATGATTAGAAGGTCAAAACACGTACACCCACACACCCTGGCAGTTTTTATAACAATGTAGTGACTTTTTTTGCTTCGTTGTACTAACATTTATTGATAGACAATATTATTCTTTGAGAAATTTCCATCAAAGCAAGATGAATTTAGTTTTCTGAGAATAACTACGGTACACAACAATTACAAAACTATTTTTCTGCAACGTCAGCTTGTTCCTCTATTCTCTTCATCTGATCTTCTAAGCTTGGTTTGAACATTGTTAATTTTGCTAATCGATCTAACAATTCCTTCGCGAATCCATTTTTATCCACTTTCGTTAATACTAACGTTTGCAATGGTCTTCCCCAGCGACCGGTCCAGTCAGCAACCGTTTGACCTGAAGTTAATCTCCCACTATCTTCTACATCCACGCAAGCACGTTGACCTTCGAATAGGTCTGGCTTAATTAAATACATTATCGCAGTTGGATCATTGAAACACGGTGAATCATTCCATGACTGCAAGATTTCTGTATAATGTGCGGTGATATCAAAACAAAATTGTCCAATTGCGTGTAGTTTCCGCATTTTTTTCCGTATTTCTTTATTTAATGGTAGTTGCCGAGTGCAATTTAACCCAACCATTGTTATATCGCTAAAAGCATCAAATACAATTCGTCCTGCATGTGGATCATTTGCTAAGTTAGCTTCAGCTGCAGCTGTTTTATTACCAAATCCTCCGACGGAACCACCCATAATAACCAGTCTTCGAACAGATTTAATAAATTTCTCTCCACCAATTGACGCAGCTAATGCAATATTTGTTAACGGACCAATAGCACACAGTGTTATTACACCTGGATTCGCTAGGACATGTTGAACAATAAATTGTGCAGCATTCACATCTTTGTATTGTTCAACAGGATTTTGATTTAAATCTTTTATCGGATATTTTACATTCCCAATTCCATTTTGTGCATGCACTTGAATGCCGGAATGACCGTGATAGGCACTAGCAAGTGGTTTATTTGCACCTTTAATCACAGGAATGTCTGAACTCATATTACACATTTGTAATAATAAGCATGCATTATTTGCAAGTAAATCAATATCGTTATTATTGCCCATTACAATCGTAATGGCATCAATCTTTATTTTATCTGGTGATGCTAATGCTAAGAAAATTGCAATTGAGTCGTCAACGCCTGGATCACAATCTAAGATTATTCTTTCACAGCCCATATTTTTCTATGAATAAACAATCTTTATTTCAGATTTTGATAGAATTCATTACATCCTTACTTTTGTCTCCTTTACTTGTTGACGATAACTCGAAATCCTTCAATATTCAGAGAACTTCAAATTTTTATCACAATACAATTTGAATTTAAAGACAGAAAATTCAATACCATACATCAAAAACATGCGAAAATCTCAACAAAATTTTTTACCACTACCTCCAGTCCAACTATCGAAATTTATACAGATGAAACATTAATTTACTTGTCCCCATTAATGTATACAAAAATAGGACCTTTATTATGCACAGCACGTTCGCTTATCACTGTATTTGGTTATCTATTTGACTCAGTTTCATCTTTTTCTCTTATGAAAGTTAGATTCTCATTACTTCATTGTACTACATATTTCTTCGTTTTTCTTTTTCTACCTTTCAAACAAAATATTTACAACAGTGCGTGTGATCTTGATAGAAGTATCTGAATCTTCTAAACTGTAGTGTTCGTAAAGGAATGTTGCCACCATTTTACTCCGGCAGAAAAGGAATTCTCCAAATTTCGAAAAAAAAAATTAAAACGACTCTGAATAAAGTTTTAGCAAATATTTTATAATCATAATTCATTTTGTGATAAAACATGATTTCCACATTAAAATAATAATCTATATCTATCTCTGCGCTTCAATCAACGTTTCGTAATCGTAAGTACAAATGCTCGAATTCTCTCTTTCTTCTGTTCCGTAAATGATAGAATAGAAATATTTTTTCAGAAGCCCAACTCTTTCTTACCTGTTTATGGCTCACGAAGATGAAGTAAACTTGTGCTTGATTAACTAGGACACACTACCTTTTGTCGTTGAGAGAGAATAGATACGTTCGTTCTTTGATACAGCAAGAATCGTCTGCTTGCTCAATTCATAGTCGACCCCTGATAAAAACTGACAGAAAGAGAAAAAGAAAAAGAAATAGGTCTGAAGTCAATATCACGCCTTGTTATCACTGCATTCTTCCACATCAATCGACAGCTGAGTAACTTTACGATCTATCTGATTAGGAAAATTTTCAGTTCAATTAATTGTTGCTGGGTGCGGGTGTGTGAGTTTGAGTGCGACTCGATCTAGGTGCTGGTGTGGATGATTAAGAAAATGAAAACGCTCAAAACCCACATCCTCACTGTTGCTTATACATAATTGGATTCGTTGTTGTTCTATCTATGAGTTTCTTTCTGATGATTGTCAATGAAATTCTAGGATTTTTCATAGTTTTATATACGGCTACCAATAAGATAGATATCCTCTCGATTTGACGTCTAAATATATATATATGAAATAGATTGATAGTCAACGCCCTCTTTTGTCCACTACATAGGCAAATTTTGATTGTACGGGGATGGTGAACGAAATGTACTCACCATTGACTACTTCCATATATAGGCATATATGAGATTTGGCAAGTCACTTAGTTTATTTGAACTAATGTTTTCGTATCTAAAAAATAACTGCCAAACTTTGCTTGTTGTAGTTCCTTCTACGGTAGCTATTATCGGATTAATATGGAGGACAATAAAACGATATCCTTCTACTATTATTATGCAATCAACAGAAGAAAAT